TAACCTCTACGCCCAAAAGCAGAGTTGTAAATATTTACACAAAATGAGAAATAACAAACAATTAAATAAGATAGTTTTACTTTTAAAAAATGATTTAGATAGAGATTGAAAGCTACCGCATTATATAATACAAGTAAAATAAAATAAATTGATTTGAATGTAATGATTTTTTGACAGATCATTGAATATTTTGTACATTGTAGCAAACCATAAAATTTTAAGAACAACACAAAGTTGACAACATCCTGCTTGAACTAGTCATCTTTATAAAAATAAAATTGAATAACCAAATACATTTCAGCACATCGCTATTGGGATAAACTTTCTTTTAAATTCTCCATTGACTGCATGTTATATATTGACCACAAAATACAACGAAAGCACTATTTTTCCCCATTACTTATGATATGTATAATTTTTGTTCTGGTCACATTATAAAATAAGCTTGATCAAATATTGGTGAAATAATTTTGTGACTAATTGTATGTTGTTTTACATTTCGAAATTTAAACACGTATTTAGGTTTTATATAAAATGCGGTAAATGGACATTGCTATAATTTTTGTCCTATACTCGCACTATACTTGATCATTGAACAGTGAAGGGTATTTTTTGTGTTATAATTTTCAACAGAAATGGACATTGATGTTTGCGTTCTTCTGAAAGACCAATCTAATACAGTCCCACAGTGGAATTCAAACCCATAATGTAAGGATCAGCTCCTTACTGCGCGACTCAGAGCAGACACTCCAATCACTGTGCCACGCGGTGACAAAACGAATTATAAGAATGAGGTATCACAAGTTCCTCTTCAAGAAACAGGTTAAAAATTTGAAAAATAAGTAATGCATCATTGTTTAAAATGTGTTTCAAAAATCAGACATAGCAACACCATGTTTAATAAACATTTCAATAAAATATTATCCATTTTATGTTTCACAGCTGTATGATATGTTTTTGTCAGTCATGTCTATTAACACCTATATTCTGAAGCATATCTCCTAAAAGGGATATATGCATGTAAATATTTAGAAATATATCTTTATATACAAAGATAGAGATACAGAAAAAAAAATTGTGACCTTCAAATTCCAACAAAGAGGATATCTTTAATAGTGAAACCTATTTTTTAAAAATATGTGCCTTTATAATTATGTAGTTGTCATCAGTACTGCAGTACTCTTTCTCTTTTTGATATTAAAGCTGTCAAAAAAATAAACCTCTTGCTAGGTTTGCCTGTGTGGGATTGGCGAATAAGGTCAAAAAGTCTTGCTAAGTTTAAAACGCTTTATATATTATGTAGTAAAGCATTTCTAGGTGATTCTCTGTTTGACATTTAAAGGTCGTTAGTTTTTGATTGCATGGACTTCTTTTGTTTCTTGTTTCATTCTTGGTACAGTGTACACAAATCCAAAATGACAATGAAGGGGGGATATTGTATGCAAAAGAAATTGTTTTTCTCAAACTTCCTGTATTGTTATCAGTCAACGTGTTTGTATGGAGGAAATTCGAGTTTAAATCGACTCCACTCCACTGTTTTTAAAAATGTTATTTACTACACACAATTATTTTTGTTAATTTATAAAATTATTTTTACTTAAATATATATTATGGAATAAAACACTGACCATTGCTACTCACAGATTAAATACATGTACTTTACTTCAGTAAAGTGACGTTTTATTTTAGTAAAACAATTTTACTGAAGTAGAAATCTTTTACATTGTTTCCCAAAACTGGAAAATTTATCTAGAGTCTGCTTTGTCGGGTTAATTTTCGATACGTGCGTACTGAATTAAATGCTGAATTCAAAACTTATCAATGATGCAATTTCTTAAGTATCAGTCACATTATCAAGCGATGGTATATATTTTACAATGAAAAAGATAATGACATTTATTGTTTTTTAGAGCCGAAAACTATTTTTTCTAATAAAATTAATATTTTGTATTATGGCGTTTTCATTGTCGTTGTTGTCGTTGTTGTAAACTTTTCACATTTTCATCTTAACTTGAAATAAAACATTTCACCAAAATTGGCAACAGAAAGTTAAAAAATTCTCTAAAAGTATTTGTTATCAATATCTCCATTTGGATTTTCCATCTACATGATAAGTGGTGCTGTCATGAGAAAAATTAAACATTTTTAATGAAAATCTTCACCTTAAGAAACTGGGCCAGGATTTGCTAACTCACCAAATCATTCTCAGGTAGAGTAGATTCAAAATATTCAAAATATTTGTCCGAAAAGAAATTTTAATTCATGACAGCAGAAAATTTTTACATAGGAATATATAGGAAAAAAAAAATTTCTTCAGAATGATACCACTGGGCCAGGAAAGATGAAACTTTGTGGTATCATCCTAGTCACTTCCTAGTGTTAATTCAAGTTTGTTCAAGTCATGACCCCTCGGGGGTAACTCTTGCCAAAATGGCCACTGTCAAAGTTTTACATAGGAATATATAGGAAAATCTTTTATAATGTGCAGAACAGAACCATTGAAACAGGAAAGATGCACATTATGTGAATATATAAGTGTAGACAAGTTTGTCACTGTAGATGATATTACACATTTACCAGCGTATCGGTCGCAAGTGTGCTCTATTTTTACATAGGAATATATAAGAAATATCTTTAAAAATCTTCTTCTCAAGAACCACTGGGCCAGGAAAGATGAAACTCATGTGGAATCATCCTCAGGTAGTGTAGATTTAAATTTGTTCAAGTCATGACCCCCGGGGGTGGTATTCAAAATGGCTATACCAATTTTACATAGGAATATATTAAAATCTTTATAAAATCTTCTTCTCTATAACCTTGAAACAGGAAAGATGAAACTCATTTTGAAATTAAATCACATTGTTACCACGATTTGTTAAAACATGACCCCGGAAACCGTAGGGCGGGGCCAATAAATCAAAGTTTTACATAGGAATATATAAAAAATCTTTAAAAACTTCGTATCAAATCTTGAAACAGGAAAGATGTTTGGCTGTGGAATCAAATACAGGTTTAGATTCAAGTTTGTTCGCCTTTTGCATTATCAACACTGTAAATTGCAAAATGGCCGATCAAATTTTTACATAGGAATATATAGGGAAAATCTTTAAAATTTCTTCTCAACGAATTTTACTGGGCCAGGAAAAATGATTTCATTCATGTGGTATACCTATTACATTTGTAATCAGGTAGTGTTTCAAGTTTGTTCAAGTCATGACCCCCAGGGGTAGGTCAAATCAAAGTTTTACATAGGAATATATAGGAAAAATCTTTAAAAATCTTCTTTAAATGGAACATTGAAACAGGAAAGATGAAACTCATGTGAAATTTCTCTAGGTAGTGTAACGATTCAAGTTTGTAAGTCATGACCTTGGTAGGGCGGGGCCAAAATGGTCAAAGTTTTACATAGGAATATATAGGAAAAATCTTTAAAAATCTTCTTCTCATATATCATTGAAACAGGAAAGATGAAACTCATGTGGAATCAACCTCAGGTAGTGTAGATTCAAGTTTGTTAAAGTCATGACCCCCGGGGGTAGGGCGGGGCCAAAATGCCCTTCTCAAAGTTTTACATAGGAATATATAGGGAAAATCTTTAAAAATCTTCTTCTCATGACAACCACTGGGCCCTTTTCAGGAAAAATGAAATAAAAGTGGTATCTTTTATCCTCAGGTAGTGTAGATTCAAGTTTGTTCAATGTAATGATATTACCCCAAATATAGCGGGGCCAAAGTGGCCGATCAAAGTTTTACACAGGAATATATAGGAAAAATTTTAAAAATCTTCTTCTCAAGAACCATTGAAACAGGAAAGATGAAACTCATGTGAAATTATCCTCAGGTAGTGTAGATTCAAGTTTGTTACAGTCATGTGACCGGTAATGTAAAGATGTGGCCAAAATGGCCGATAAAAAATTTACAAAAATATATAGTGGAAACCTTTTTAAATCTTCTTTTCAAGTACTTTAAAGCCAGGATTAGTAATATTTGTATGGCAATACAGGTAATGTAGATTTTTCCGTTCAACTTATATTTATCGCATTGTTGCGCCATCGCATCATCGCCATCCAACTTAAATTAACTTTCAGTTCTGATCTGATATGTTTTTTCCTAGCTGATGTGCTCAGGTGAGCGCTGTGGCCCCCTTTTTTTTATTAAAATGGCATGGTTGCCGGCTGGACACCTATAATCCCTCTACGTTATTCTAAAGTAATCACCAAAGTTAAAAAATTTTGAAAATTAGGTCAAACATGAAAGTCAAGGTGTCAACAATCAAAGGAAAATAATTTAAAGTTAAAAATTAGCCATGTCTCCATCGATGCCCCACATCGCTCCTCATCGGCAAGCAATCATTAACACATCTTTCAATTGACCGATGTAAGGCCGAACATCGTCAAGTGTCCGTTGAATCTGAGGTGGTTGAGTGGTGGACAACGGACAACGGACATCGACTTTTAACATCGGCCATAACTTATTAGAAAAATTATGTACAAACATTTGACCCGTAGTATGATTGTTACAGTTTTATCAGTTGTAAAGATGTTCACCAATGTATGAGCGATGTAATTTACATCAACCGATTACCCTGGAACACCTTTTTATGATTAGCAATGCATCGCTAGGCCTTTGTCAGTGCGACCAGCAACCACGCAATTTTTATTAAAAAACGCATTGGTTGCCAATGGTATACCGCATCGCTTGATAATGTGACTGATACTTTAAAGACTACTTGGCCAATGTGTACCGATGTTGTGTATTCTACATAAACACCAGGTAAATGCATGTTAAATCGATACACGTGTTATGTGATTTCAATAAACATAATGAATGCACATTTACTTTATTAATGATTTATATTATAGAGAGAAAAATGCATTTATTTTCATAAAACTTCAATTTTTTTTTTTTTAGAAATCTTGCATCCTCTAAATCTTTCATTGAAGTTTAAAACATAAATTTTGACTCAATAATTTTTCTTCTTGTAGATAAAAGGGAAAACAATGTCATTTGAAAATGATGGATCCAGCAGTGGTGGAAGGTGTTATGTCGACAACGCATACAATAGAAGACTAGGCAGAGTTGGTATGCCACATGGTTCAATGGTAGTATCTAGTGGAGGAAGACTATCCTCAGAAAGCTCCAGCTTTTCAGGATCAAGTTTTTTAGGAATGCCTGGTGTAAACAGCGGTAGTGGTAGGTTGTATGTTGACAACTCTTACAACAGGGCACTGGGCAGAGTTGGTATGCCACATGGTTCAATGGTAGTATCTAGCAGAGATGAAAGGCCATCCGCAGCAGCCTCTCACATTTTAAGCTCTTTAGGAAACTTTGATGAAAATTACAACAGTGGGAGGTCGTATGTTGACAACTCTTACAATAGGGCACTGGGCAGAGTCGGTATGCCTCATGGTTCAATGGTAGTATCTAGTAGAGATGATAGGCCATCCGCAGCAGTCTCCCACATTCTAAGCTCTTTAGGAAACTTTGATGAAAATTACCATAGTGGGAGGTCGTATGTTGACAACTCTTACAACAGGTCACTGGGCAGAGTTGGTATGCCTCATGGTTCAATGACGGTATCCAGTAGGGATGATAGGCCATCCGCAGCAGTCTCCCACATCTTAAGCTCTTTAGGAAAATCTGATGAAAATTACTACAGTGGGAGATCGTATGTCGACAACTCTTTCAACAGGGCACTGGGCAGAGTTGGTATGCCACATGGTTCAATGGAGGTGCCCGAAAGCACTAAAACACTTATGTCCAACATCGTAGACTTTTTACATGGTGCCTATGGTGTAGACCGTGAAAGTGGTAGGTCGTATGTTGAAAACTGTTATATCGAGACATTGGGCAGAGATGGTATGTCAGTGAGTTCAAAGGCGGTATCTAGCGGGACAAATAAGCAATCTCCAACAAGTTCCAGCCTCCCAGATTTAAGTTCTTTAGCAATTACTAGTGAGAGCAGAGATCATGAGAGGTCGTATGTAGACAACTCATACGACAGAACATTTGACAGAGATGGCATGCCAATGAGTTCAAAGGAGGAATCCAAAAGAGAAAGTAGTACATCGTCACTAATCAACAAAATGATCGCAGCAAGTAAGCAATCTTCAACAAGACCAGATTCAAGTTTTTCAGGAATTACTGGTGAGAACAGAGATAATGGAACGTCACATGAAGACAACTCTTACAACAGAACATTGGGCAGAGTTGACATGCCACTGGGGTCAAAGATAGAATCTAGTGAGAGAAAAATACCATCACCAGCAGATTCAAGCTCTTCGGAAAAATCTGCTAGAGACAGTGATACTAATGAAAGGTTATATGTAGATAACTCTTACAACAGGACACTGGGCAGAGTTGGTATGCCACTGGGTTCAATGAAAACATCTAATCGGAAAAGCAGACCCTCCTCAGCGAGCCCCAGCTCTGCAGAAAAGAAGTCTTACGTTGACAATGCTCACAATCGAAAGCTTGATAGAGTAGGGAAGCCAGTTGGATCCATGCCTGTTTTCAGTTCAAAACAATCATCTGCTTCAAAAACATATGTGGATAATGAATACAACCGCAAACTAGGAAGGGTAGGCGTGGAGCATGGTTCTATGGTGGTATCCAAAAGCTCTCCTAAAAAAAGTAGTTCAGGAGGATCCAAGGTTTATGTGGACAATTCCTTGAATAGAAGTCTTGGGCGTGTCGATCTTCCTTATGGAACATCCACTAAAGTTGAAAATGTTCGATTATACAAGGATAATGCATTCAATCGAAGACTAGGACGTGTAGGAAAACCAGTTGGAACAGCAGTTCAATCAAAATCTGGATTGGATGAGTACAGAGTTTATGCTGACAATTCGGAAAACCGTCGCCTTGAAAGAGTTGGTTTTCCTACTGGATCGAGACCAAAAGCTTCATTCCCAGGAACAAAACGCAGATATTGCGACAACGCACTGAACAGGGCTCTAGGTAGAGTTGGAGAAGAGCTTGGAACAAGACCCGTTACTTGCAGCAAAGAAACGGAGTGGATTCACAAAGTATATCAAAGATACAGAGAAAATCCGGTAAGATCCATTTTCTTTATACACCAAATTGCTAAGCTCTTGGATGACAATTACAATTCTTGAAAAATGAACTTTGTTACAATAAATAAAAGCTTATCCAATATTTTGTTGTAGAAAGCAGAGATACAGTATCAAGACTTACCAGCATTGTCAGAAAAATTGGAAGCAGCTGCTGTAGAAAAAGTTATGGATCGATTAAACAGAGTACATTTTGAGAGAAAATGGCGCAAACAGTCAAAAGTAAAGTATGTTCCGAAGAATTATGGTGCATTACTTCACTACACAGGACCGATAATAAAGTATTCTGATCTGGAGATTGGAAAGCCGATAGGTCGGGGTGGATTTGGGGTCGTTTATCACGCCATGTACAAAGGCTCGGTTGTTGCTGTGAAGAAGTTGCCCTTTTCTAGCGTACCCATGTCTATGCTAAAAGGATTTAACGCTGAGATCAATATCTTAAATAGACTTGATCATCCATATATTGTTAAATTTATCGGTGCATGTATATCAATACCAGATCTATGTATTGTTATGGAGTACATGCAGATGAGTTTACACGATGCACTGCACGTGGACCGTGCTGATCTTGGTGATTTTACTGACGAGGATCGGTTAAATATGATTAAGCAGACTCTTTCTGGGCTTAAGTATCTGCATGATAAAAATATTGCTCATTGTGACATCAAGCCTGGGAATATTCTAATTGACCACGATGGTGAGAAGTTTACCGTTGCCAAACTGTCAGATTTTGGATTGAGCATGATGAGTCACGATCCAGCCAGATGTGCAGGAACACCACGGTATTCTTCGCCAGAGATTCTTCGTGGCGAATTCCTTAACTTAAACCAGATGATGATGAGCGACATGTATTCTTACGGGTTAGTTGTGTTCGAGATTATTTGTGAAAAAGAACCCTTTGCTAATTTAAGTAAAGAGCAACTGCAAATCCAAGTAGGCAGAAAGGGTCTATTACCGCAGTTCCCTGAAGGTATTCATCCTGATGTTCATCTGGAAAGCCAGCTTTTGGCTTGTTGGGATAGAAACCCAGCTAATCGCCCGACAGCAAGAAGTTTCCTTCGAGTTGTCAATCGTCTGTCCAGTGTTTATGCGACAACAGACGAGTAAACATAAACTGTGAATTATAATGAGTTGTTTGAACATTTTCGAAACATATTATTCTAATTGGAAACTGCAGGATAATGTCTAGAAGTCTAAAAGTTATTAGTTTTAATTCAAATGGCAAATTTTGCATCAATAAGTATACTTTTCATGGAAATGTCCTTCAAACAGTATAAAAGTTTTGTTTTCTTTGATTAACTTTGAAATGTAATGGGAATCGGAACCCAGCTATCTCAGTACGTACGGAAAATGCCAGAAAAGCCTATTTAAAGAAAACCATTTGTTTGGATAATCCATGTAAACTTTTGGAAACTTTTTTGCTTCGATTGTAACACATTTTTTATGGAATATATTTTTCTATCATTGATATATATAAATTTCACATGAAGTTTATTAAGGGAATGTTATGAGCACATTGTAAAACTACTAATGTTCCCTGAAAAAGCAGATTTAGGTGATTACCCCTGTGGACAAGAATACATTTTTCACGAATTAAAATTTGAAACCATTTCAGTAGTATCAAGAATACTTTAGGATTGTTAACAAATCTATAAAGCAACAATCCAAACAAGCTCTAATGTTATTTTCAATTTTCAACAAGTTAGGATTTTCATTCTTAATTAAAATTTAAAATAGAAAAATTCCATGAAATCACTTCTAAAAAAGCATAAAACAGAGAATATCAGATCAATGCTCACAAGAGGAATGTGCAAAGATCTCTATGTCACCAACAAGGTAACTTTTTGAAAGTTTTTTGGAACATTTTAACGCTGTGGTTATACTGAATTATGGATTAAAAGAAAAGAGAGGTTAGTTTTAGCAGGTTAAATCAGATCAATGCTCACAAGAGGAATGTGTAAAGATTTCTATTTCACAAAAATCTTAACTTTTTTAAAAGTTGTTTTTGAACATTTTAAACGCTGTATAGAAAAGGGAAACATAAGATAACAGATTTTGTAATACTTGCGACACAGGGGAGATTGTAGATGAATTTTGTTTTCTATTTAGTTGCCAAAAATTCAATAATCGTACGTTTAACTTTTGAAAGGAATCTGTTGAATTTTATTTTATTTTCAAGGAAAAATATCAAATATGTCTTATTCTAACAAAAACTTGAGCTTTGCTTTCATAATCAGTGTCCAGAAATACTGAAAATAACATTCATTTACTATATATAAAAACATGTATCTAGAAATGATTGTAATACATTATATATTGAACAAATGATTGTATAATTTATGTATATGTATTACACACAAGATTATTTGAATGTAATTACCCGGTAAGCAATTTATGATTCTTATGCTTTATGTGGTGCCTTTGCAAATTGATGTAATTGTGTTTATTTGTACGATATATGCTCACTTGGGCCAAATGCTCAAATGAGTTTTCCGATCGACACTTCTTGCTGTTGTAATCGTCGTCGAAAACTTATCCTCTTCTCCAGAACCACTGGGCCAGGCAATTTCAACAAAACTTGACACCGAGTATCATTGGATGAAGGGCAAATGAAGGACAATACCCTCTTACGAGGGGGATTTTTCAAGAAATAGAGAGAACTGGATGGGATCAATTAAACATCATCTTTACAAGGACTACTTCATCAGAAAATAAGCCTCTTGAAATAGCGTACATCCAGAGTTTGTTATTTTCTTAAATCATGACCCCCAGAAATAGAAGGTAGCCAGAAAGGGCAAAAAAAGTTTTACATTGGTATATTAACAAAATAGCTATAGGCAATCCAAGTATGCATATGAAAACATGGGTGAAACACTTTTCTTCAGAATAAGTCAAATGGAAGACTCCTCAAGTAGTGTAGATTTATTATGCTCGAATCCCAAACGCAGTGGAATAGGGTTCTTTTAAAGTTCTACTTGGGTGCAGTGTATAACAGTGTATATAGAATTGTTTTGATCATGATCAGTTATATCTAAATGAAAAAAAAACTTTAGGTAATGAAGATTAAAGTTTGATCAAATCAAGACCCGAAGGCGGGACACAATGAGCAATAGGAATCCATACGAAGAATTGTTAAAAAATCTGTTAGAAAGGGAAAGTCTGTTTTAGTCATTTTTATATGAAACCATTCTTAGGTAGTGTAGAAAATATGCCCCCCCCCCCCTGGGGAAAGGTGGGGCTACAATAAGTGATTTATTATATCCCCGCTTGAAAAGTGGGAGGGTATATAGTTATCATGATGTCCGCCTGTACGTCAACCCGTCCTTCTGTTACGCTTAAAATTTGGGGTACCCATCTCTTTTCTGCAACTCCTCTCATATCACTGAATGAAAGATAATGAGACTTCCACAGAATCTTTAGTACATATCGCCATTGCGCTTTTTGATACGACGCATATTTTAAGTTTTCCATAGCAAATCATGGACACTGCCAAATTATTCTTATGGGAGGCGGGGGTATCATTAAGTGCGCTCAATGCTCACAGTACCTCTAGTTTAAGTTAAAAAAAAATAGATTATATACGAATAAGAATCTGCTGATGTAAAGCAAAAAAGAACATCGTTACACTATTGATCGTTGTTGTCACATGGACCTCTTGTTTTATTATTCGTGATTATTCAATTTCAGTTAATCATTAACGTATTTTATGCCCCTCGTAGTCGAAGATAGTTTTTGCCCTGTCTGTGACTGTCTGTTTGTCCGCAAGAACTTCAACCTTGTCCATAACTTATGAATGGGCGGGGCTTTGGCTTTCAAATTTCACAGGTGTATTTCTTGTGAAAGACCTCTTGGTACCACCAAAATTTGGAACACCAAATTTGACCTCGTGACTTTGACCTTAGAGCCTGGTCAATTTTTACCAAAAATTTCCAAAATTTAACAACAGCCAAAACTTATAAACAGTTTGTCCTAGGGATTTTATACTTCATTTGTTTATTTTATGTGACAAGACTTTTCATTGTATATAAAAAAAATAGTTGACCTTTTAACATTATTCTTAGAGTTTTGTCCACTTTTTAAAAACGTTTAACCTTGACCATAACTTTTGAACCATTAGCGCTCAGGATTTCATATTTGATAAGAGGGCTCATTGTGACAAGACCTTCCGCTGGATATAACAACAATATTGACCTTGACTTTAAAGTTTGACCCACTCAAAAAAGACCTTCAATATAACTTTTAAACCATTAATACTAAGGCTTTCATATTTCACAGGTGTATTCCTGTGAAAAGACCCTCCTTTGGATGCCAACATTTTTTACTTTGACTTTAGAGTTTAACCACTCATATAAAACTTAAACCTTGACCATAAGTTTTGAAACTTAAGTACAAGGGTTTTCATATTTCTCAGGTGTTTTTCTTGTGACAAGACCTTTCTTTGGCTACCAACAATTATGACCTTGACCTTGGAGTATATGAAAAAATATATGTTGCATATGAAAAATTTCAACCTGCGCCATAATAAGCTGTCATACGGGGTATCAGTGTTTCACAAAAAAACATTATGTTTCTACTTTGTTTTGCTTTGAAGTTAGACTTGTATATTTACAGCCATTTTATATTTCTATTATTGAAAATAATGTTTATACCGGTAAGTAGCATTGCTGAAAAAATCAGTTGATAGTTTCTAACCATCACAAGTACAACACATGTACATGTATTGAATAAATTTAGCATACTTGTACCGGTTTCTAAAAATCTTTGTACCGTATAATTCTTTTTTAACAGACTTCGAGTTCATTTTGTTTCATGTTTTAATTGGATAAAAATATCTGAGGGAAAATGTCGAAGATGTCATTTTTAATTAAGACACAAATTTCAGTGCAAATATACTGTAGCGCAAAAAGAAGCATATTGACCCCAATTTTTTTATTTGAAATTCAATTAAGCTTTGTATGTAGAAACTAAAAATATACTTGGTAAAAAAAAGTTTAAAACTTTAAATATCAGGATCAAACGTCGTTAAAACGAGTGAACTGTATACAAAGTTAGTGTAAGGAATAGTGTCTTTTTCCAAATTGTGAATTTTATGGCCCCAGGGTCAGGGGTTCCATTGCTAAGGTGAGGTTATTTTGATTATATATTGTATAGTGAAATGCACTATTCTTTCAAAATAAAAAAAAACACCTTCTCCGCTCCTGGGTATTTTTCCTGAAGAATTTAAGTATATAGCTATGATGAGCAAGTTTGCTTCTTCCGGATATGTGAATTCCCTTGTGTCACGGGAACCATGGGGTTGGGGTGTGTGTGTAGATTACATACTGAAAATAAATTAATGCTTTAAAATTTGCTCCTTAATTGTTATTAATAAAACATTAATAATGAGCAAATCAGCAAGGTTGCCATACTTTTCAACAATAGTGAATTGTGTGTAATCCTATGGGGTGGAGTACTTTATATTAACTGGTTATATAATGGAAATGCATTTTTATCTCATTTGAGCTGAAGGCTCAAGTGAGCTTTTCTGATCAGAATTTGTCTGTTGTCTGTCGTTGTAGTTGGCATCGTTCACTTTTCACATTTTCATCTTCTTCTTAAGAACCACTGGGCCAATTTCAACCAAACTTGCCACAACGTGTCCGTGGGTGATGGGAATTCAAGTTTCTTCAAATGAAGGACCAAGCCCTCTTCCAAGGGGAGATAATTACGAATTAATGAAAAATTTATGTTTTCTTTTAAAAATCTTCTCCAGAACCAATGGGCCAGGAAAGATGAATCTCATATAGAAGCATCCTCAGGAAGTGTGGATTCAAGTTTGATGTGCCACAACGGCTAATCAAAGTTTTGCATAGGAATGTATACGAAAAATCTATAAAAATCTTCTCAAAAACCTTTGAGCCGGGAAAGATGAAACTCATGAGGAAGCATCCTCAGGTAAAGCAGATTCAAGTTTATTCAAATCATGACCCCCACTAATTAAAGCTATTAGGAAAAAATAGGAAAAATCTTGTAAAAATCTTCTCAAGATCAGAAAAGCCATATACATGTAATTGATGATATTTATATGGAAGCATCCTCAGGTGGTGTAGATTCAAGTTTGTTCAAAAAATAACTTCCGGGGGTAGGTTAGGGCCACAATGGACGATTAAAGTTTAACATAGAAATATTTACTGTAAAATCACAAATTTTGGTGGTTTAAGGAAAATCTCTTGGTTTGTGGGGATTTGATTCCGTGGATCAAGAATTATTGCGTACTTATGTATATGACATTTTATATTTCGTGATGGAAATGAATTTGTTGATCTCGTCATACCTCGAAAACAACGAAAATTAAGCCCCCACGAAAGTTTGTGATTATACAGTAGGTAAAATCTTAAAAAATCTTCTCAAGAACAGTGAAGACAATCATCTTCAGGTGGTGTAGATTCAAGTTTATGCATATCATGGCTCCAGAGGATAGGATGGGGCCACAATGGATGATCAAAGTTTAACAAAGCTTGAAATTATATGGGGAAAATATCTAAAGATCTTCTTAAGAACACCAAAGCAATGATTGTTCATATTTCTGTGAAAGCATCCACAGGTAGTGTAGATTCAAGTTTGTTTAAAATCATTACAGCCTGGGTGGAATCACAATGGACAATCAAAGTTTAACATAGGAGTATATACAAATGTAGGGAAAGAACAGCAAAGCCATGGTTTGTCATATTTATTTTGGAGCATCCTCAGATTGTAGTTTTTTTTTTCAAATCGTACCCTCCCCCTCCTCCTTCCCCTTCTGACTATTAGGGGTAAGTCCGGACCACTCATGCAATTAAGAAAGGAGGATATGGAAATAACGAACAGTATTCAATCTCAACGTCCATTAAACAATATACAAAATAAGAGCAGAGCAAACACGCACCTCCGAAACATCAGAGGTATCAGGTGCCATGGAGGAGTGAGCATCCCCTGCCGACCGGTCACACCCGCCGTGTGCTCATTGTCATGATCAGGAAATAACGGAAAAAATCCGTCGTCAATTCAGTGCATAAATAATGGACTAACAATTGGTATGAAAAACGTCGGTCAGCATTGATAAATTGTATTTGCTTGTCAATAATTTACCTCGTTTAAGAAATTGTTCATACGTAAAGCATACTCTTGCGTATCGAATGAACTGAGATATATATACTCCGTATGCAGGTGATGAAGGTATATTGCTGCATAAGTTTCTGAAAAGTTAAAGTCATCACGTTTATCATATAGCTTGGTTGTTAGATTACCATTAGTGTCTTTTTCAAGTAAAATATCCAAGTATGAAGCAAAAGTGTCGGACTCTATGGTATCTTTTATCTCAAGCTCACCAGGATATATCGTGTCGACGTAGGAATGGAAATTATCATTATTAATTGACAATACGTCGTGGATATATATTTATGTCGAGTTGAAGGCCACAGCAAGTGTTTTCTTCTTTTTACGCATAAGATTTTGCATAAATTCTGCTTTATATGAATATAAAAATAAGTCTGCTAATAACGGAGTGCAATTTGTACCCATGGGAATTCCAATAGATTGTTGGAATACCTGGTCTTCAAAGACCACATAGATATTGTCAATCAGAAACTCAAGCATCTTCTTGATGTCAACTTCAGAGTACTTATGTGTGCTGTTTAATACTAAAATAAATTTTTTTTTTGAACATTATTCAGGTGAGCAATTTGGCCCATGGAAATCTTGTTCTTTGTTCCTTCGATCGAGTCGCCCGCGTGGCGCAGTGGTAAAAGCGTCTGCTCTAGAGTCGCAAAGTAAGGATTTGATCCTTGCATCGCAGGTTCGAGTCCACTCCCACTTAGGGACTTGGAGATCGTATAAACCGTGGCCCCGTATCGCATTTGATGCTGGCACAAAAAAGATTCCTCACTGCTCAATAGCCCTAAGTGCCGAGTATAAGACAAAATTTGCAGCTCTCCATCGGCAAGTGGTGGCATCCTCTTTATAAAGGGAACTATTTCTGATGTTACAATGCTGATCAACACACAAAACTCATTATATGCCTAAAAACTGTCAACCTTACTCCAAAATTCCACACCTAATTGATATTAACACTTTCTAATGGGACAATACTTTCTGATTATTATGCTATTTCATTTTATCCCAAAACAAATATAATGTATAACAAGAACTATACGTATTAATTTTTATTTCATATTTATTTGAAAAAAATGTTCAAGTACATGTATTAACAATATGTGGTAAATCTTTAAAAAAAAAAAAAGTAAATGTTCAGATTAAAACAAAAATAAAAAGATCGTCTTTAAATGAAAATAAAAAAAAATGAAGTTATCAAGAAAATGCCAAAAATGTAAATAGATGTTATTAGAAAATAGAAATGCATAACAAAAAAAGCAAATAAGAAAGAGTGAATTTTCAAAGTAAATATAGAAAAAAAGTTAGATCTAAAATTTCCAATAAAAAATAAATCTATAAAATATTTAATGACATGCATTTTAAATCATAATTTATAATCAAAAATATTTACACTGATTCAGGATCAACTATGTACACTTAATTATATACAACAAACTACTGAAACAATTACCTGTGCAAGAATATGTCTGAATAATGCTTTGAAAAGAATTGTACAACAACTCCCCCACCCCACCACCACCAAAATTAAACAGTCAGAAGTCAAACGTCAAATTCTTGCACAAGTAAAAACTTCCAACACACTGAGGCTTACACACTCAAGGCGCAAAACCTCTTGGTCAGACTCTCAATTTCAATCTCCACTGGAGTTAGCTACAAAACACATAAGGTACTTTATGATATACATGTATACAAGAATATTTTATATATTTGTCAATTATAACTAAAGACGTTGTTGTACAGGATATGCCCAAAGTTTAAATGCATACCGAAGCGGACTTTAGCCTTTTAGAAGGAGTGAAACGGCGGCGTCGCCTCTTCCGTTTTCCAGACTGGCCCTAAAATCAAAAACAAAATTATGAGAACTGAATATATATACACTAAAATTGGATTTTGCTCTCATTATAAAGATGGCTGTGATTAATGCAAAGTAGTATCAAAGATTGGGTTCATTTAATCAAGCAATGATAACCATGATGATTATACCTACCCTTTCACTGACAGCTCTCTGTTCATCACAGGAGGACATGGCAGGAGCCTTGACTGTCTTAGAGGGAACCATAGTGACAGCATTCTCTGTATGAGAAGGGGAATTAGCTGGATCCTTCACTTTCACAGAGGGAACAGTAGTGACAGTGTGCTGTTCAGCAGAAGTGTATTTGGCAGCAGTCTTGGCTGTCACAGAGGATGCAACCTGAAAAGTCAGAAAAACCATGTATAGTTTCAATTGTGGAACTAAGGAATAAAAGTCTGGATCATCAAAAAGTTCTTTTTTAAAATAAAGATTGGAATTTCCACTTTCCCTCCTTGAAATTAAAATTGATGGGATTCGCACATGTTAAAATGAAATTTGCCTGTTCTACTTACATGTACATGAGCCTCCCTAAGAGTCAATATATGTGGCATTAAATCTGTCAGCTTCCCCGCCTCTCTTCGTTCACCACCAATTATCTGAATTAACATAGTGAAACTAAATTTTTCTTATAAAAAAGATCAATGAAAGAAATTGTCAATTGTAAATGCAAGACAGTGTTGTTATCTTAATTTATTTTGTGTAGCAATGATGACCAAAAACTTGTCATTACCTTATCAGTGACAAGATTCTGTTCTTTGCAAGGAGGATTTGGGGGAATTTTGGCAGTTGGGGAGGGTTTAGTTGTGACAAATTGTTGTCCATCAGAGGCGGGAGGGCTGGGACAAGTTTCATTCCTCCAAGAAGATGCTATTTTAACCTGAAAAGACAATGTTTTAATACAGTGTGGTTTAAAATTTATATAATATAGAATAACTTACATCAGCAGTAACTGTTGCATCTTTCTCTTGAATTGGTGTGGACTAGTTTTTAAAAAAGGGAGAAATTATGGGTTTGAAAAGACAGAATGGCATTGAAGAAACACTTTCATTTTGTGTTGCTATTCCAAGTAATCTCCTTCACAACAGTTTGTGATTTCATCACATTTTTTAAGATGATAAATTTCATATAATGCTTGTTTGTTTATTGTTTTTTTTTTTGTTTGTTTTTAAAATTTGACATGGTATAACAAATTGTTCTTTAGCAAGGACTCTACTCCCTTCTCTTGCAATTAAAATTGATGGCATTCAAAGATGATGATAAATATAAAGGAAATGTCAGGCGGGCTTCGATCCACTAAATCATATTTTACCTGCTTAGTTACTCATTTAACAAATGATTTAAAAAGTTCTATACCTTAACCTCTGTCTCTTCATTGTGAACTGCAGAGCCGAGGTTCTTAATATGTACAGGCTTGTCAACGTCCCCTAGAGCCAACACAACTGCTAATAGCTTCGCCAACTCCTCGACCTCTCCATTTCTTACAGTCGGAGAGGATACATCTCCCACCTAATGATCAAGTTACACCTTGTTAATGTGCTACCTTATCAACAATCAAACGTTTCCTTTACGACAATAGTTTCAAATATTCTTCTAACTTTGGTAAGAATTCATCAAATCTACAGAATCTGCATGGTTTTTACTATAAAAGAATCACTTACATCACCAGCAGCTTTTGTGTCTGGCACTGGTGTGGACTATGATCAGAAAAGAGGAAAAATATAACAAACTCTTACTAATGTGAAAAGATGGAAGGACAATTTTGAAAGTTTTTCTTTTAAAATTATAGGTTACAAATAATTGTAAATATGATATTACAAATCGGAGTTGTTTTCATCATTAATTCCACTCCCATCTTTTGCAATTAAATTTATGACATTTATACGGGCTGATAGGAGTAGACAAAAAAACAAGGCTTCGATCTAAGAAATCATATTTTACTTTCTTATTTGACAAATGGCAAAAATTAAGTTCTATACCTGAACCCCTGTCTCTTTCTGAGGAACTGAAGAGCTGAGGTCCTTAATTTGTACAGGGTTGTTAGCATCCCCGAGGGTCATCAAAACTGACAACAACCCCGCCAACTCCTCAACCTCTCCGACCGTGATCTGAAATATACAGTACATTGGCAATTTATTTTTTTTGTTGTTGTTGTTGTTGTTTCCTGGAATAAAAAATAAAAATGGAAATATAAAAGCAATATAGTAAAAGTTAAGCATTGTTGTAGTATTTTGTTAATACCACTTACGCTGTTACTGACATCTCTCTGTTCATGAGAGGGAGGGTTAGAGGGAGTCTTGGTGGATAAGGGGGATTCATTAGTGACAGATTGCTGTCCATTAGAAGTAGGATTGAGGCCAGTCTCTGTGGTGAGAGAGGAGGTGACTTCAACCTGATAATAAAGCAACACCGTCATCTCAAGCATCATATTAATTCGCTGCAACATTTTCATCTTTAAAAAAAATTTGGAAAACAAAAAAAAAACGATTCAATTTTTTTTTTTGGTGATTAAATTACAAAACTTTAGTGCTATGTTTTAAAATGGCAAGATTAACCTCAACAATTAAAATTGATAAACACACATTTAGAATCTTGATACGTATGCTCTGTACAGATAAACCGCATAAAGGCTTGGGCTTTGGATTTCTAAATCAAATATGAAAATGTCCAAAACATTTTTTTTTATTGTGCAAAACAGAAAGTTTATTGCATAGTTTCATTCCGTTGCAAAAATGTGGAGAATAGAATCATCAGAACTTTTTTGTTACAATTCATTTATAATTCTTACATACACCTTGCTTGTAAACCGGTGATGAAAAAAAGAAGAAAAGATTATCTTAACTGTTATAGAAAAATATGCCAATAAATATCGCAATACAGTTAAAAATCGCAATATATCGCAATAAAAAAATCCTAGTCGATTCCCAGACCTAAAATATTATAATATTATTGCTTTAAAAAACATTGTATCGACCATAGAAATTTAAACCTGTAAACGAGACTGTTGATATCTTTGTTTCATCGACTTGTTTGTCAAAAGTTTGCCTCGTTTTAAACATTGTTCGGACGAAGAGCATGTTCTTATGTATCCCACCCTACCAACCCATTAATAAAGCCTTTTCTAGGATGTTAACTTATTTGATATAATAAACCGAACTGTAGATTGAACTTCAGGCTAATACAATGCTCTTGCTTGGGAAAAAAAGTTGGCATTGGCTATCTAATTATTGTAGGGTCTGACTTCGCTGAAATAATGTATAATTTAAAAAAATATGTCAGAAATATATTTGGATATTAATCTCTTAGTCCCTTTGTAGAAAGTTCAAATTGTCAAAATTTAAAAACAACACGTGTAACCTCAAGTTTTTATTACGTGTATTAAAAGCAGGTAGCATCTTGGAAAAAAATGTGACGTTACCACTAGCAACGTACAGCATGTTAAGCTAGGAAAATATTTCTAATTTCTATCTGTCTGTTTTTAATTTTTTTCGAATACTGAAAAAAGGAAGGAAAATAATAAAATTTTACTTATATTAACATCAAACATTTGCTATAAATATAAAGACACTACAAGTCCCACAATGTTGTCGTTGGAGACCATATCTTTGCAGCAATAGTACATCAAAACAGTTTTAGAAGAAAACTATGACCAAATATTAAAATATTTATGTTTATTTATGACAAAAATTAAATTATATAAAGAACTAAAATGTTTTACATCGTGACTCTTATATATTTACTTATTTTATTTTCTAATACATTACAAGAAAAAGTATAATTTAAACCCCCATCCCCACCTCTCCGACTTTTTTTTTTAAACAAAAAAAACGGCAAACAAAAAAAAACCACATTCATTTACTTGTAGTTAAATTTCAAGCGTGCTTATCAAGAAAACGAAAAGCTGAAGAGAGGATACTAACAAAAGTTCGTTTAACTATAATCTTTAACCCCCCCCCCCTTGTTCCCTATGAAAATGTGAAAACGACGATAAATCTAATATTTCTTTGCTATAAAACACACAAAATGAGGCTTTACCCTCTTAGTCATTCTTTCCGGCATCTTCAGTGCCATTTATTTAGATATAGCAGTAGAAATTGCAGAAAATCTCTTCGATACAAAAAAGCGTCCGTTCTCTTCGACTAATGTCGTTGGAATGAAGCGTAACCACAACATAACTTGGGCCTACCGAGAAACGTGACGTCACAATCAATGACGAAAGCCAATGAAAACTAGCGTAAATTTTTACGAACACTCAAGGTTAATAATGAATTTGCGACACCTATTTTTATTAAAAAAAACAGAAAAATAATGATTCAATTTCAATTTTTTTTTTGTGTGTGACTTAATTTAAAAAAACTTTGGTGCTGTGTTTTAAAATAGGTAAATTAACCCCAACAATTAAAGTTGATAACAAAAAATAGGGTATTTCGATAAGTCTATTCAAAACAGATTTACCTTAAAAAAGCTTGAGCTTTCTAAATTTTATGAAATTTTAATAAAAAGATGTCAAAAACGTTTTTATTCGTGTCAAACAGTAAGTTTGCTGCCATATGGTTTCATTCCGTTGCAAAATTGTGGTGAATTAAAAAAAATAGTGATAAGAAATAAGAAAAGATTGTTGTAGCTGTTATAAAAATATGCCAATACATTAAAAATATCACAATTAGAAATTCCATGTCGATATATAAATCTCTTATATTGTATAAAATTATTGCTAAATAAAACTAGAAATAAAACATGGACAAACAAACGAAACATGCATTTAACGAACAGCAATCAAGCTGAAATGTCCGTTTTAAAAATACAAATTGTGAGTAGAGCAAACTCGGACCTTTAAGGATATTTAAAAGTGGGATCAGGTGCCATATGGAGGAGTAAGCATCCCCTGTCGACCGGTCACACCAGCCTTGTCATGACCGGGTAAACAGGAAAATTTGGGTGTGTGTAAACAGTGGCGTAACAATCAATATGAAAAACGTCAGTAAGCACTCGGAAAAAATGTTGATTGCATTTCCTGACAATATTTTATCGATTTTAAAACTTGCAAAATGATGACTTTAAAATTGTTGATATATTTGTGTCTATAGTTTGTCTCATTTTAAACATTGTTCGTGCGTAGCATGCAATTGCGTATCTTTCTTACTAAAGCCTTACCTATGGTGTTAACTAATATGATTTTAACAGCATTGTACATGGACTTGGACGAAAAACTAAACTCTCAGACTCCTACAATGCCCTTGCTTATGAAAAAAAGTTGACATTGCCTACCTGTTTATTATTACAGCTGTATGTCTTCAATGAAAAAAAAATGTGTATTTTCTGTTAAATAAAATAAAAGAAGGGACTAAGTAATTCAGAAATTATAATAATGGCCATTTTGATCTTTTGGACGCAATGTAGAATGTTAATATTGCCCCCCCCCCCCTCCCCCCCCAAAAAAAACCACCAGCAGCTAGGATAAAATGTGACGTTGCCACTAGCAACGTACAGAATGTAAAGCTAGGAAAATATGTGTGATTGTTTTTTTTTCTTTATGTATTAATTTCATGCTTTCAGAAAAAAAAGTAGAATGAATAGACTAATATTTTAATAATATCAGACATTTTCTATTTCTATAAATATAAAAACACTATACACAGACACCAATATACCTTCTTTGTACTACATATCTTTGTGACACTGAGTGCGAATTTCCAAACTCATATTTTATAAATTTTCAAAACAGTTTCACAACAAAAAATTCATTATGTTTAATTATGACAAAATTTAAATAAAGAACAAGAATGTTTGACATTTTCGTTATTTCTTTATTTGTCTTCTTTTGGTAAACACTTCACGTATGATTTTTAACCCCCCCCCCCCTTCCTGAAAAAAATACCCCCTCCAACCCTCCAATACTTGTAGATTAAAGTTTTTAAAGTGCCATTACATGGTTATCATGAAAATGGAAAAGTTAAGAAGAGAAAGGGTACGGAAAAGACTACGTTTAACAATAAGCTTCAACCCCCTCCCTTCCCCCCGCCCTTCTCCTTCGCCTTTTTCCCTTTAAAATTAAAAAAAAAAAACGTCAGTAAATCAACAATTTCTTAGCTATAAACACACAAAAGGAGGCATTACCCTCTTAGTCTTTCTTTCCGGCATCTTCGGTGCCATTTATTTGGATATAGCAGTAGAAATTGCAGAAAAATCTCTTTGATATAAAAAAGCGTCCGATTTCTTCGACTAATGTCGTTGGAATGAAACGTAACCACAACATAACTTGGGCCTACCGAGAAACGTGACTTCACAATCAATGACGAAAGCCAATGAAAGCTCGCGTAAAATTATACGAACACTTGGCGTATAATGAACACCTTTTTCTTTTAAAGAAAACAAAAAATATTAATTCAATTTTGATTTTTTTGGTGACTAAATTACAAAACTTTGGTGTTGTGCTTTAAAATGGCAAGATTAACCCCAACAATTAAAATTGATAACAAAAAATAGGGTATTTCGGTCTATTCAGTGCAGATATGCCGCAATAAAGCTTGGGCTTGGGTGTCTAAATTTTATGAAATTTTAATTCAAAGATGTCAAAAAACGTTTTTTATTTGTGACAAACAGTAAGTTTGCTGCTATATACGGAAGCCCTGGAGGGACATTGACTTACTTGTTATGAGTTATTTGTTATAACTTTTTTGTTTTGATTTATTTGTTGGGAATGTTTCGTTATTTCCTAAAAGTTATTACTTAATTCATATATGTAACATCCAATTTGCATAATGATTGAAAACAAGAACATGACTACTATTTTATCTTGTCGTTAGTAATAAATTCAAGGACTTTTTTTACTGAAACTATACGTTGCCTACATCTTTCACGCCACTTTTTGTGAAGTAAACTTGTAATAACAAATTTAAAATAACAAGAATTCAAAGTTAAGTCATAAGAACTAAGTCAAGACACACAAGAAATAAGTCAAAACACATAAGAAATAAATCAAAACACAAAATAAATAAGTCAATATCCCTCCAGGGCGTCAGTAATTAACAGATAAAAATCCAGTAATTACATCAGTACTGTACGTTTAACTACAAAACTACAATTAATCATTCTCAATAGCTTACCTACACTTAGTTAGAACTAACCAAAAAAATCTCAAAACAAATAAGTCAAAACAAATAAGTTATAACAAATAAGTCATAACAAGTAAGTCAATGTCCCTCCAGGGCTTCCGTAGCTATATGGTTTCATTTCCTTGAAAAAATATGTGATAAATTAAGTCATCAGTACTTTTTTGTTACAACTTATTTATAATTTTTATATACACTCTGCTTATAAACAGTGATAAAAGAAATAAGAAAAGATTATTTTAACTGTTATAAAAAAAAATATGCCAATACATTTAAAATATCACAATAAGAAATTCCATGTCGATATCAAGCCCTCTTAGATTGTAGAATTATTGTTTTAAAAATTTGAAATGAAATATGGACATACAAATGGAACATGGTTGTAACTCCCGAACTTCGATACAAGGGAAATGATGCAACTCCGTTAAAAAATACAAATCCTGAGTAGATCAAACTCGGACCTCTAAAGGCATTAAAAGTGGGATCAGGTGCCATATGGAGGAGTAAGCATCCCCTGTCGACCGGTCACACCAGCCTGATCATGATGAGGTAAACGGGAAAATTTGGTTGTGTAAACAATGGCCTAATACTTAATATGAAAAACGTCAGCCAGCATTCGGAAGAAATATTGATTGCATTTCCTGTCAATATTGTATCGATCATATATAGAACTTGCAAAATGGTGACTTTAAAACTGTTGATATATTTGTTTCATCAATATGTTTGTCAATAGTTTGCCTCGTTTTAGACATTATTCGTACGTGCATGCAATTCAGTATCTTTCTTAATAAAGCCTTACCTATGATATTAACTTATTTGATTTTAACAGCAATGTAGACTTGGACGTAACTAATTCTCAGGCTCATACAATGCGCTTGCTTATGAAAAAAAGTTAGTATTGCCTATCTCTTTATTATTTTATGTGTATGTCTTCAATGAAAAAAAATGTGTATTGTCTGGTTGGAAAAATAAGAGAAGAGACTAAGTATTTCAGAAATTATAATAATAATGGCCATTTTGATCTCTTGGTCCCTTATTAAGAAGTTCATATCAGTTGCCAAAATAAGAAAAACACACTGTAACCTTACGTTTTTATTAAACAGCATGCGCGGATCTAGAGGGGAGGTCGGGGGGGGGGGGGGGGCAGGCCCCCCTGGAATTTACAAGGTTAAAAAATGTATATACTAAAACAAGAAAAAAGTTACCATGGATCCCCCTTGGAAAACGCCGACCCCTTCCCCCCTGGTAAACGCGAATATGTGTGAAATGGGTATAAAAAGTGAAAGATTTGAGGCAATAGAAGTAACCCCCTCCCCCCCCCCCCCACGTTTTGGAGAGTTTAGGTTTTTTTCTTTTTGGCTTTTTGCTTGTCAAGAAATTTCTGGGATTGGATTATTCTATTTTGACTGGTATGCCCCCCCCCCCCCTGGAAAAAAATACTGGATCCGCCCCTGAACAGCAGCTAGGAAAAAATGTGACGTTACCACTAGCAACGTACAGAATGTAAAGCTAGGAAAATATGTGTGTATTATTTTTGTCTTTATGTATTAATTTCAAGCATTTTTGAAAACTTACAAAAAAGAAAGAATAATGATCCACTAAAATTGAATATTAACATCTGACATTTCTTATTAATATAAAAACACTATAAACAGACACAAAAAATTCCGTTTTTGTAGCATTGGCAGCCATATCTTAGTGACAGTGTGTGCGAATTTCCAAATACATGATTTATAGATTTTAAAAACAGTTTCATAAACAAAACTATGACCAAATAACAAAATATTTATTATGTTTAATTAAGACAAAAATTAAATAAAGTACTAGAATGTTTGACATTTTGTTTCATATTTCTTTTGTAATACATTTCAAGAAAAAGTGGGATTTTAACTCCCCTCCCTGACACCCCCCCCCCCCCCAAAAAAAAACCAGATACTTGTAGTAAAAAAAATAATTGTG